AGCTCCTTCCAGCTAGGTAAAGAACACACTGTGACAGCTGTGTCCTTATCCTCCACCCCCACTGAACTCATGGGCATATGGAACCATGTGCATTACTTAAAGTCAAAACTAACGACATTCTCAGGAACCTGTGTTAAAATTATAAAATTAACTTCTATTATAGGGATTCTCATCAATGCAACAATGCAAAAGTAAATGGTTCATAAATTACTGTGTTGTCAGGCCCTGCTGAAAATACTTATTAATAGTACCGCAAGTTGTTAGAGGAGATGGCAAAAGGCCTGGGAGAGACGCATGACCACTCCCTGAGTTAAACTATAACCAAGACACCTTATATCTTGCACACCCCCAAAATCAAGAAAGAGAGAAGTCCTACAAGAGTTCCAGACATTTGGTAGCTAGAAAGGCCTCTTGAGGAGAAGAATATCCCATTCACTGATGGTTGGGGCTGCTACAAGGTTTAAGACACCAAAATTTGTCTTGGTGGAGGACTGCTCTTAGAAGCATGTCAAGGAGACTACTAGGCAATAAACAGTATCCAATAAAGTCTCCTGGTTTCAGTTATTTTGTCATGAGGTCAGCTGACTGATCTCTTCTGTTCTGGATTTTTAAATCAGGGACATGAAATTCCAGGAAATCAGAGGGAAAAATCCTTCCCTCTCACCTGATCTCCATGTTCTCTTTCCCAGTCACTTGCCTAAAGGTTAAAACAAACAAAAACCTGAAATTACCCTAATAAATATAAAAATTTTTCCCTGATATGATTCATCTCTTTGTTCAAACTGAACATACACAAAAGTAATGAATTAAAATCATGAAACATGTTGCATATTAAGTTGCTGAAGAAAATAAGAGTTGTCATGGTTTCCATTCACAAGCCCATTGTGCTTGGGAACAGAAGCACAGGTAGTTTCCTGGCAAGGGCAAGGATTAATTAGAGGAGGTTTTTCCAAAGTATATGTGCCAAACTTAAGCTTATTCTAGCAAGTATTTCCTAGTCCCCATTCCATAAGAGGTGCAGCTTGGCCAGCAAGGATTTTTCTATGAGATACAATCATTTTTGACACATTTAGACACTGGATCCACCACAAAATAATCCAAGCCAGTGACAGTGCCAAAGTGTGTCCACAGAGCCTTCCTGTTGGCAGTGAAGAGGGGAAACAACCATGGGTACCACGGCGAAGTGGGAGCATAGCAAGAGGTGGGAAAGGGTGACCGAGATCTGCCAGCTCCCAGGTGGCCTTTGTCACCCATTTCCAGTGGAAAGGTAACAATGGCAAAGCACTCACTATATGCCAGATACACACTAGGTGCCTTCCACACATGATCTTGTTTAATCATCATAACGCTTTCAAGTGGATACTGTTATTATCAATATTTTTTCGATGATGAAATTGATGAAAATGATGTAGTCAGAGAGTACGATCTCCAAGCCCAGAATGTTCCCAGTCCCAATTCATTGCCTCCAGTGGGCCTAGGAGAAGCACAGTGCAGCTGTTGTGGGCGCCAGTCACACAGGTTTCTGTGTGCAGTGGGATGGCCTGGGAAGAACCACAGCAAGGGAAAGACAGCTCTATCACAGTAGGAAGTCACAAACAAAAACCACAGAGGAACGTATCTGTCCTGTCTCCTACAGGTGTTGGTCTGTACAATCTGGGTACACTGCCTTTTCAAAACTCTAGTGTATATGCAGATAGAAACATTAGCATCACATTTTCCAGCCCTAGAACTACTAAATCACAAATTCTGGGGCTGGGGCCCAGCACTCTAGTGTCTCAACAAACCCTCTTAGGTGATTCTGATGCACAATCCAGTTTAAGAACTATTGATCCAAGCAAAGCCCTGCCTTGGTTCCTATAGAAAATTCACAGAGGAAAAAGTGAGAAAAACATTTTCTTTCCTATCAATTCCACATTCAAAACTAAACACCCAGAGTAAATTCCAAAAGACACTACTGAGAAATTTTCAGATGTGAAAATGGACTTAACTCTCATTTCCTGTACAGAAACAGCATGAAGTTTATTATTAGTAGCAAATAAATGTAAAATTCCAATAAAAATATAAAATGGAACATATTTTTATGCTCATGGTTCACTTGAGGATCATATTGCTCCAAGAGAACTATCTGGTCATCAATTTTTATAATGGAGTCAAAAACTCAAAGGATGCATAATTATAATGACCGTCATAATATAAGATATTCATATATTTAAAGAGTACATTTCATATGCAATATTTTCAAAAATATATATGCTTTTAATGACTGTTCCTAAACCAGTAAGAAAGTGAAATAGGTACATAACACCCTGGGGTGAGGGAAATATTGTAAATTAGTACAACACTCATGGAAAACAACTTGGCAATATGTGTCAAGCCATAAAAGCATCCATACTCTTTGACCTATTAAGTCTACTTCTTTTCAGATTAAGAATTAATTCCCCAAATGAAAAAGCTATATGCACAAAAATGTTTACAACAGGCCCAAATGTAGGAGACGGGATGTCTAAAAATATGGAAATGGTTAGGTTAATAAAATATCATGTGACCATTTATAATAAAAACAGATTATTTAACTACATTAAAACACACACACACACACATATGAAAAAGAAGATACAGATTATGTCTATAGTATACTATGATTACAACTAAGTTTTAAAAAAAAAAGGGTGCATAGAGAAGTGGAAAGAAACATGAATGTTGGAATTTGAGGGCAAAATTTCTCTTATTTTTCTTTCTGCTCATTTTTTCTGTTTTGGAGGAGTAATAATTAAAATATCAATATTAGTAAAGCAGGTTTGCAAGCAGCATAGAACATTTTGAAGTTTAAGTTTAGATAAACTGATTCCTGGTTGTGCGTATGTTGAGCGTGTGCACATGAATGTTCACATGAGAAGAGGAACTAGGGAAAGAGAAGGGAAAAATATCAAATTAGTCATTGCCAAAGGGCAGGAGCTGATTTAAAATGAAACATGAGATATCCTTCTCTCTCTGTAAAAATCAAACCACATCAGAGAACAGAAGCTCAACCCACAAAATGTTAGGAACTAGCTAACAGTCAAAATGATGAAGCAAGGGAGAGATCAACAAATCAAAAAACAACCAAAACATTCTCCCTTCCTCTGTCCTCCAGTATTCTTTTTCAAAAATAATGTTAAATGCAGGATCTAGCAAGCAACCTATCATTTGCTGAACTAAATTTTAAACTGATGACTCTAACTTCAAACTGACTATTAATCGCAACTAATCTTTAGAAGCCATTTGGGTTTATGCCTATGACACAGGGAGCAGGTTTGCAACATGAGTTCTTCCAAAGCCGAATCCCAAGCTTCTGCTAAGAAAGGCTGCTTGGCTGTGCTCCGGCACACCCACAGCTGGAAATGCTACTGTCCTGGCTGCGGAATGCCAGCTTCCTCTTCATTTGGGGCAAGTTCCCCATCACACAGTTCATTTTGACACCAATCCTTCTCTAAATTGTCTGTTCAGACAAGCTAATCAGAATTAGATTTTCAGTTCCAAGGCACTTGAGAATAATTGGGGGGGGGGGGGAATGAAGTCAATGTGCAATTTCAGGCAAAGTTCAGAACTTTATAAAAAGTTCAGCAAAACAATCTCTGTTGCAAACAATTCTCAAGGCACTTCAATGGCACAAACTGCAAGGCAGTAGCTCCCCACGATTGAGAAACAATTACCGAGAAAATGCTCTTGACTTGATACAAATTTTTAAAAAGGACTTTAAAACAACTGTCAAGCTATATTCATGTACGTTTAATCTAAAACACTTGCTTTGATACCCTTAGAAGGTTTGTTCAAAGCAGACACATTCTGCCATTAGGAAGAAAAGGTTCCATGAAGGTATGCCAATTTTATATCAAATCACCCCAATTCCACTTCCCTCACAGAACCTTCTAATCTCTGGCTGTGTTATTCATGAAAAGTATGATTCTGCACAAATCTCAATTCCTAGAAAAAAATATCAGAGGAAGGTAGGATGGAGCACTAATGTTGGAGACTTCACGCATTTTTCTTTATTACTCCAAATCCGGGATTCCAACAGGTCACAGGAGGGTAAAATGCAATGTATCTTCTAGAAACAAATATTAATCTAAATATATGGCAATCTTCTTCTGTTTTCCTGGAACAATTTCAGACACATGCTCTGTGAAACAAGATTTCCGGTTATGAAGATATGAAGAGGTCATCTAGTCAAATCAGGGAATTCTGCTATAAAAACCACTTTGTAAGTAGCTGAGGCATGCCCAATTTGAAAGAGTATACTTAACACTTTCAGAATACAATGTACTTTAAGTAAAGTTCAACAACGTTTTTCTGGCTGATTTGGGTACATGAAAGAAATGAATGAGACCTCACCATAGAAGACACAGTTTAAAAATGACTGACAGATGCTTCCTTAACTGCAAAAGCAACAAACACCATTTCATAAAACTATTTATAAACAGATCAACATGAGCTACCTATCCAGGGCTTCCAGAATTTAAATTTGACTCCTTATAAAAGTACAGCCTGCTTCCTACAAAGAAGTGACTTCTGAGTGTGAAAACTGAGCCTTTTCTTAATAATTCAAACTTAAGAACTAAAAATACCTAAAATAGCAGAATTTGCCCTTAGATTTACTTGCATATTCTCCCCAAGTTAAACCTACTTGTGAGAAGAGCAAAGAAGATAGGAGGGTGGGAAGAAAGGCAAAATAGAAAAAGGGAGGAAGAAAGGAATAAAATATGACCAATCAAAAGAAAAAGGAAGGAATAACTAGAGTCTTGCAAAAATCTTGTTTTTCAACCATCATTTCCTCTTGTATATTTCAAACATAACGCCACTACATGGCACCTATCAGTCATAAATCAAATATAAATGCCTATAGCTTAACAAGTATGAGTCCAGAAAAACTATGGATTTCAATATTCCCCTTTGCCCTTTTAAAGGGAGCAGGATCAGGAGAACTTGGATGAAGACACTATCCCATTAGATCAGATACTTACCGTTGCTCACCATCCGCCTGGCCACTTCCCACAACACAAGTCCAAAGGCCCAAATATCGACCCTCTTGTAAGAATCAAAACAATCCACCTGGATGGTTTCATCTAGAACTTCAGGGGCCATATAGCGCTTGGTGCCCACACGGGGGTTGTTCCCCACATCCAGCTGATTGGTGCTCTGGGAATGCATGACTGCCAGGCCTAAGAGGAAGAAGACAACACCATATGGTCAGCTTTCTTCCTTTCTCATAGGGGCTGCTGGAGGATTTCACACAACCCCAATCGAAAGCGCCCTCGTGTGGTATCCATGGTCACTACTGCATTACACTCAACAATTCCTGGAATGCCCTTGTGATTGATGACTTCTGGAGGGAGAGCAGGAAAAAGTACTAATGCCAGAAACCATCGGAGGCTGTGAGGTTAATATATGACTCTCTGAGAAACACAAAGTTCTGGGTAAATGGTAGACCAATGCACTAAACCAATATGAGGCCAGTGTTTGAAGTCCGCAGGAAAACAGGCTCACATGTTGAATGAGAGCCTCAAGGTGGCTTAATAAGCAGCAAATGAAGCTCCAAGCTCTACCTCCATTCCCACTAGTCTCCAAACACAAATTCTGAACAGTGTGAAATGGACAGTGGAAGTAATTTATCACTACAGAACAGGCAGACTGCCACAAGCACTGTTCCATCCTTAAAGAAGAGCTGCCCATCTAAGCAATAACACTGACCAAACCCACAGGCTTTTTTCTAGAATCACATGAAAATACAGCATTAAACTAGACCTCAATTCAAAGCCCACCTCTCATGTTAAACGGCTTTGAAACACTTTCTTAAACTATGATTCATTTCAGAATTCCTCAGTCAATTAGGAAGTCCTGTCATTCCTCACTGGCAGACACATGCGTGGTTTATTTGAGGATGGAATTATTTATTGATGCATATGCAGACCACCTGAAAATGATTCCTATAACACTCAGTATGGGTGAAAAGTTCCAAATTGGAGCAAGCTGCCCCTGTAAACCTTTGTAATCTAAAGATACCTTGGGGATCCCTCATGCCATTTACAGAGAATGCTTTTCCTCCCACTCTGTGGCTTTAAATGTATGGGAAGTGACTCTTCATAATGCCAGGGTAAGGCACACATTATCTCAACCTTAACAATCAGCAAAGATATTGGCAACTGCATTCAACAAAAGCAGACCGGTTCTTCTTCCCCCCATTTTAATAATCAACCCCAAGATTTTATGGCCATTGTGAATATTTCCCAAATCATACATGCCCTTCCACAATTTCCAAAACCAATGAGTTAAAATATCAGAATATTTTTTAAATGCAGTTTAAATAGAACATGGAGATACTAGCTGTGGTGGTTTTAAAATATGTCTACAAGTTCTTTGAAACTTCTCCCTTCAAGAGGTGAAGCTTAATTCCTCATCTCTTGAGTGTGGGTTGGAAGATAAAATAAAATACAGCAAAAATGACAGTGTGTGTCTTCCAAATTAGAACATAAAAGGCATTATCAAATTATAAAAGGCTTCCTGTTCCTGTTCGTCCTCTCTTGGCTCACTCGTTGTGTTATGAAGACCCTCAAGCAGCCCTGTGGAGAGGTCCACATGGCAAGGGACTGAGGCCTGCTGCCAATAAACACATCAGTGTCCC